GCTTGTCTTACTATTGTTTATCTAATATGTGCCAAAGTTCAAATTGTAGATAATTTTCTCCCAAATATCATCTTTCAAGTGGTATTTTGACTCCAAAATCAATTGTGCATCAGTACTACAAGTATTCCATGTCTCCATGCACAAATTTAGGGGGAGGATCATCTACAAGATGGACGTTTTGAGACTAACACCTTTTTCAAGTTTATCATGTGTGTAGTAGTCTCATTGCAAGGAAAATGGAGTCCCCGAAGAGAAGCATCGTTTTTCAATTGGCATCATCATGTTGATTTCATTTCATATTTATATGCTTTCTCCATGCATTATATAGATTAAACTCTCTTGTGCAACAAATTGCTAATTATGCATATGCTTTGCTTTCTACCATATGTATGCATATATTTAGGGGGAGCTTAGTCTATATAATGCGAGAATCAAATTTTGTGATCCATGTCTCTCTATACACAAAGGATCATGAAATTTGACCCTCCCTTGTGCTACTAATGTCTTCCTTTTTAGTGTTTGATGCCAAAGGGGGAGAATTTGAAGGACCAAAAGCAAGCATCAAGTTGATGTCTACAAGTGATAATGGTCCGAGAAAGGGAGGAAAGTGAATTATGGATTAGTCTATGTAATGGGAGAATTTTTTTTTAGAAAGATAGGCTCTAATCCACAATATCACATGGAGACATTTGCAAGGGCAAGACATGCTTTTGAGTAAAGTTTTAATTGGTATCTATCAATTAGTATCATATAACCTTGCCCTTTGCATTGCATCCTAGCAAGTAGATAATTTTTAAATTTAAAATTTTTATCTTTTGCTTGCTTTGGTCGTGTTGTCATCAATCACCAAAAAGGGGAAGATTGTAAGAAAAATGGACCCTTGGCCCATTTACTTTGGATTTTGGTGTTTGATGACCAACACAACTAAATTAGACTAATGAATTTGCAAGTGTTTGTTTTGTAGTCCAATAGGGTGCAAGACGTGACTTGGACGAAAGGCGACGTGATGATGATCGATGATCAACACCTCAAGCAAGACCTTAGAAGCACAAGAAAAGACCCAAGATGTCAAGCAAAGTCCAAGCATGAAGATAGGAACCAAGCCGCGCGCAAGATCGCAAAGAAACGAAGCTCGCAGAGGCGTATCAGACGCCGGACCGGACGCTGGAAGCGCTGACCGGACGCTGGACCGGTGGTTTCGGCAGAAAGCGACCGGACGCAAGGACCGGACGCCAAGCTGGCAACCAACCGGACGGACGGGGAACGCAGCGTCCGATCGAAAGTACTGAGAGGTTCAGCGCGCTAAATCGCGATGGGACGCGTTTAGTGGCAAAGCGACCGGATCTTTGGCGGCGTCCGATCGTGAGTTCGTGGCTACTTCTAACGCAGTCGGGACGACCGGACGCGTCGGCCAGACGATTCAAAGATCCGATCGACAAGAAAGGGGCCATGGAGTTCGACCTCAACGGCTACTTTCTCGATGGGGCTTATAAATACAACCCCAACCGGCCATTTGAGAAGTGTGGAGCCGAGAAAACATATCAAGAGTGTTGATACACCATTTGAGTGATCTCCACATGCATAGTGCTTAGTGTTTTATTAGGTGATTAGCATAAGTGCTGCGAAGTGCGTTTAGGTTAATTAGACCACCGCTTATGCGCTTGCTTGCTCTAGGTGTATGCCTAGTGTTTAGTGAGGTTTGCATACCTCTTGCCACCCCGTGCTTTGCGAGCACACGAGTTGTACATCGGAGGGGCTTGAAGTCTTGAGATCGCATCAATGCGTTTGTGGTGCGGGCGCCACTGCAAAACCGAGGGGAACAAGGCCCATGCGTTTTTTAAAGCTTGATAGTGAAGACGGCGGGGAGCATCCGGGAGAGGCTTGCTTAGGAAGGCACATCGGAGACCCATTTTTGCGTGGGGAAGGCCCGAGGCTATCCACGGAGTTACAGGACCAGAGCTTGGCCCTTGCGAGGGGCTCCAACGAGGACTAGGGGAAGCTTGCGGCTGGCTTCTCGATACCTCGGTAAAAATAACTAGGAGTCGTCGACGGGAGTTTGCATATCTCTACCTTGCTCTTTAAGCTCCGCATTTACATTGATCATATTATTATCATTTGCGGTAGAGATAGCAACACACTAGCAAAACCATAGTTGAACATCTAGATAGATTATCTTTTGCATAGGTTTTGCTAAAGATAGACAAAGAGGCCATAGTTTAGAGTTAGATTTTTAAGTTGCATAATTCACCCCCCTCTTAGGCGTCCACGTGTCCTACAACAACAAATCAGCTAACAGTACTTATCAGCCTAGCGAATAGGGTCCATGTCTCTACTGGCACCGCTTGTTCCTAGCCTTTGCCCCTGGTACTCTTCTCCTATGCTAACCTCTTCGGTGAACTAGTAGTGCCCTCCAATGAGCTTGCTCCATTCCAGGTGAGTGGATCTGTGGTCTCATATCAAATCCCCTTTGTTTTGTGGCTGCATCACCTGCATTGCTAAATTTTTCTAGCGTAGGGTCTTGATTCATGCATCTGATGATCAAACAATCGTGCCTTCTTTTTCTTTGTTTCTTCTTTTATCCTTAAAAAACTTTTCTCACACTCTTATTTGGGTCTATAAACACTCAAGTTGATCATATGGATACACTATTTTTCCATCAAGTGATTCATTTACGTCACCACTTGAAAAATTGATTTTTTTAGCAACACCACCCTCTTTATTCAAATAGAACTTGAAAAATCATCTTTAAGAGTTCAATGGACTCAAAAGGAATACAGGAAAAGTTTGAGGCCCTTTTCACATGGACTGTGTCTCCGCTTCGTGGGCCGCAGATCGTCTTTCGGCCCGGTGGGAGCATTCGTTTTTTGGCCCGTGCTGGCGTGCCCTCCTGTCCTCTTCTCGTTCCCCACCGAGCGGCTGTCGATCTTGTTTGCTCCGCCTCGTCGTCCCCTGGACGTCGCCGCCCTAGCGGCTCGCTTCGCCGCATCTGCCGCTTCTCGCGCTCTCCGGCTGCTCCGCTGGTGGTCGGTTGTGCGAGAGCGGCTCCGGCGGGCGGCATAGATCGGCGGTAGGTGTCTCGCTTCCTCTCCGTTCTCTGTCTTCACGGTGCTGCGGCGGTGCGACCTGCGTGTTCGTGTGGAGGGGCCGCCGGCCGCCGCCTTCTCCGATTTGGCTTTTCCGCTTGTGCGAACCGGTTCCAGGTGGGGCACCGTGGTCGGATTTTTGCTGCGCCGCTCGGGCGCTCGCCGCTGTGCTGCGGTTCTATAAACGCAGACCCGCTAACCCATTAGCCTGTTACGAAAAAACCCAATAGCCCGTGAATCTACCCCGATCGGCCAATCCGGATCATACACCCGCGAGCCAACAGCCCCGTCTCTCTCAGCCTCCTCCGGTCCTCCCCCACCACTGTGCGTCTGTGCCTAGGGCTCGTACGGGGTCGACAGGACCGCGGCCTCCGACGTCCCTCCGCCGCCGTAGGCGCCCTCTTCGTGCGGCACGGGCGCTGCCAAGGCGCCCTCCATATCTGGCATGCCTCTGAGCCGCCGCAGCCGCGTCGCCAGAGGGCTCGCCGACGAGGAGGTCTGTCTCTACCCCCTGTCCCCCCTCTGCCTCGAATTACGGCACCTTCATGCCGCTTTTCGCCTATGTGGTTTGTGTTAGCTAGATTGGTAATTTGAGCCTGTTGATGCGTCCAAAGGTGTGCGGAGGATGCATCGATTCCCGTTTTGCGGTACCTAAGACGTGATTCAGAACTCCGGTTATTGATAATTGAGCCGATTTCACGGATTTTATTACTAGGGTTTAGCATGGCTTGCTTGTGTTGGTTGCCCCCTGTGATAATTTTGGAGAAGGCCATCATGAAGATAATACGGCTTTCGTGCATGCACATAATTGAGTGGCCTGAATATTGGATCTGCTTGTTTTATGAATGCTGTGAATTCTAGGGTTCCAGTGATGGGAAATTAAGTGTCTCAGGAAGAAATTGTTGTTTTGCTTGTTAGGAACTGGTGAGCTTGCAGGCTAGTATCTATTTATTAAGCTGAAAGGTGGAAAATATGGGATGAATATATGTATATTACATACTTAGCATTCGGATCTCCTTCATTTGTTATTCTGTTGACACTGATGCTTAGATGGTGGGCGAGTCGGAGAGGTTGAAGAGAAATTATCGCTTTGTAATGTTTCACAGATAAATAGACTGAGGTGCTTGCATGGGCTGATTATGTTGTCCAGTTTTGTATATGAATATTACATACTTAGCGTTTGGAACTCCTGCATTTGTTGTTCTGTTGACACCATTGTTTTTAAGGCGATAAGTCGAGCCGCGGCGACCCGCCCATTTGAGTCGACTAGGCGTTTAAGGCGCGCGGCGAGGCGACGCCATATGATCATCTCAATATATAATGCTACTAAAATTCAGAAGCAAATCATACCTTAATATTGTCAAGTCTTAGCATATAATACCATAATAAATAGTGCTACCAGAGTGCTAGTGCACAACATAAAGTAGCAAAATAGTTCTCATCACTCAATAGCAACAAATTAGTCTCTAATGGCATAATATAACTTAATGACTAGTGCTGCTAGGGCAAAACAAATATAAATAGCATAACTGCAGATCTGAAATCTAACGTGAGCATCATCTAAGGATGATCATTTAAGCAGTTTTCCATCTCTACTCTAATTGCAGTGGTAGTTTTCTTGCACATCATTGTATCTCCAAAGCCACCCGCTAGATGCTTCTTCAGCCTTCTTATCCCTCCAAAAAGTGAGACACCACATAGAGTGCAGGCCACTACATCTTTGTTTTGAAGGTTTGGCCAGTAGCCATACTTCCATCCTGGATCCGCAGAATTTCCCTTCCGAGCTAAATCAGTCCTGGGATCATAATTGCTGATGATGGAAGATGGACTTGCCATTGTGCTATCAGCTGTAAAAACAAAGAACTTGAGCACTTCCAGTCAGCATCTGTATAACAAAGCCACAAGCAGAGGAAAGACATGGAAAGAAACAGAGGAAGAGGAGGGAAGCAGAGCTGCAGAGGAGATGTGAACTGCAGAGCACATCCAAGTCGAGCAGAGGCAGTGCACATCCAAATCAAGAGCAGGGGCAATGCACATCCAAGAGGAGTGAAGCTGGAGGGAGAGGAAGAGAAGCTCACACGTACCTGTCGTCCTGTCCCCCGAGCTGCCGGAGGCTGGAACTGGCGGAGCAGCGCAAGGAGCCGTGAATCCAAGGCACAAATCAGCGGAGAAGAGGGAGGAAGACTCGAATCGAAGTAGGGGAGGCTCAAATTGAAGCAGGGAAGACTCGAATCGAAGCAGGGGAGGCACAAATCGATGGAGAAGAAGAGGCGGAGCGGCCGCGCGCGCCAAGAACAGGTGAATTTGCGGCTTTGCGCACGGGAGAGATGAGATAGGGACTTGCGGGAGCTGTAGGCCCACGCCGCGATTTCCCCCGCGCGCGCAACTCCCGCGGTTGCGATTCCCGCGCGCGCGCAACTCCCGCAGTAGTGATTCCCGCGCGCGCGCAACTCCTGCGGCCGCGATTTCCCGCGCGCGCAACTCTCGCGGCCAGGCGTCGTCCGATTCGCTCGTGCGTCGTCCGCCTCAGACCGCTCGGAGCTCCAACGTCGCCTAATCGCGCCTAGGCGACGCCTTTTTCTGCAAGGCGGACGCCATACAGATGCTGCTCGTGGCGAGGCCGACGCCCAGCTTAAAATAGCGCCTGGACGCCTAGGCGTCGCCTTGGAGACGACTTAAAAACCATGGTTGACACTGATGCTTAGGTGGTGGGTGAGTGGGAGAGGTTGAAGAGAAATTATTGCTATGTAATGTTTCTTAGATAAATAGACTGAGATGCTTGCATGGGCTGATTATGTGGTCTATTTTTATATATAAGATGTGCTTTTGCTCCACAGTTCAGTGAGTTCTGCTTTCCTGTTTTTTCGGTAGCTACAGTAATGCATTGACAAGTTTACTAAGTTGTGAATTTTAACTATAAGATAAGATAGGTTCTTGCTTGCCTGTACTCTTGTACAATGCACCACATTTTTTTAACCATGATTCTGCCATATCTTTCAGTAGAGAAGTTGGTTTCATTCAGTATTCATTTTTTCTGGCATATATCTCATGACCGTCAGCTAGCTGCTGTGTTTCCTATTTTTTTAGTTCTGTATTTTATCTATGACTTCTACTTTATATCTTTATTATTTACTACTTCTGCGGCAGTTATTTTTTTTCCATGTAGTTGCTTGTTCATTGCTTTACTTTTTTAGTAATTTAATTTAATTTAGAATGTAAACTTATGCTTTATCATTTCCAGGTCCAGGTGGTCTAGTGGACATGTCTTTTAGAAGGCACCAACCTTCCAGTAATGGAGCTTCCATTAGTATAGCTCCTCTGGATTTTCCAAGTCAGGAACTTGAGAAGGTTAATCCTGTGAATTCAGTGATGTCAACTGATTTTGCATCCATGGATGGTGTTGATATTGATATGAGAGAAGTTTACTTTCTCATTATGCATTTTTTATCTCATGGTCCATTCAAACGGACCTTTGGAGAACTGTGCAATGAACTCCTGGAACATCAACTGCTACCTAGAAGATACCATGCTTGGTATTCACGTGGTGGTTTCCATAGTGGTGAAGAAAATGATGATGGCATATCACTCCCTTTGGGTTATGTAAAATTAGCTGAGAGGTACAGAAATGTTACTCTCTTGTCTAATCAATTTGCTTCTGTTATTTTCTAATCATGTGGTGGTGAGGAACTCTTTATTGTTGATTCTGCAATTAATTAGGGGGACTGGAGATGATTCCTAGATTTGAATACAATTGAGAAAAGGATCTGTATTTAGGTCATAATTCGATATAAATTCATTTGGTGCCTCTTGTGGAGCTTTCTGCCCACACTTCATCCACAGTTTGTACATGGTACTAATATTTTTCATAGCTTGTCTGGCCAGTCCTACCCGATTAAACCTTTTGATTTTGAAACAATGGTTATCTTGAAAATGTTGAAAATGTAGCACAATGAGTGACCTGTCATATGAAATATGCCTCTTACCTTGGCAGGACTGTTACTTTTTTATGATTTTTATTTCTAAATGATATTTCTAAATGATAAGATAATGCTGAGCATTTTCTCACTTGTTTTATTGTAGGTACCCCCACATTGGTAAAGACCACTTGGTGAAGCTATTAAAGCAACTGATGGCTATTTCCTGTCACCCACACAGCTTAATTGGAAGAGTTTCTCCAAATGCTGCTGATGTCCCAACACTTCTTGGCTTCAACTCCTTTTCGCTTCTTGCATGTATGCGTATCAATGCTGTTCAATGTGTTACTTTTTTTAATATTATTTCCTGGAGCTATTTGTTAGAGCACTTGTATATTGAACTTTTCCCAGTTTTGGTAGCTCCAACTACTCTTTGGTTTTCCATGTTATTAATATTGTAATGTCTTTACACATTCTTGAATCCTTCAGCTGACAGGCAAGATAAGGAAACTCCCAGGCTGCCAAGTTATCTTCTTGGCTACGCACATTCAGGCTGATCAAGTTCATGGTCTAAGTTTGAGAGAGATTGGTGGTTTCACTAAGCACTCCCGTGCTCCCTCTGTACGAGCATCGTGTTATGCCATCGCGAAGCCATCTACCCTTGTTGAAAAGATGCAAATCATAAAGAGATTGAGGGGGCATCAAAATGCTGTGTATTGTGGTTCGTTGAACTTTCTTGCTCTCTTAGCTATATATATGTTTAAATAAAACATCTTAAGTGTGTTTGATTGGTGACTGATATTGCCACATATTTTTTAGAAGGTCGCTAGCCTTAGTCTTACCACATTCTTGTGGCAAGAAAAATGACCACCTAACATTAGCTAAAGTTAGTCATGGAACTTGTCCAGGAGGCTAAGCTAAGCCGACTAAGGTTTTGCAGCAACTAATAAACACTGCCTAAGGAAACTGTGGCTGACTAGGCTTAGGCCTGGCAAACTTAGGGTGCAATCCAAATAGGGAGTTCTAAAGATCGGGCCAAACTGCCCCCTATCCAAACAGGCAACATTATGTATCTCTATAGATGTATGTATCAACTGTGTCAAGGCCTATTATACTTGTTAGAGAAGTTCTTGTGGTTGATTACTATGTGTTATTTCATTCAGTTAACAATTTGTATATGCTGTTCATTATGTTCCACAAGACCTTATCCCCCCCCCTCCTCCGCGCATGACAAACTTAGTTTGCTGCCTTGTTTTCCTTGCTTCCTCAAAGCCCAAACCTCTTACCTTATCATCAATACATCTTTTTTATCTTCTGCATGGCTTTCATACTATTTCTGTTTTGCAGCTACCTTTGACCGCACAGGGCGTTATGTTATTACTGGTTCTGATGACCGCCTTGTTAAAATATGGGCGACAGAAACAGCTTTCTGCCTGGCTAGCTGCCGGGGCCATGAAGTAAGTTTTGCTTGCTGTGGCATATATATATACTCATAATGTTTCATTGATAACTTAATCCCACTTATCCTGTTTCATTTCCAAATCAAGGGTGATATTACTGATCTCGCAGTGAGTTCCAATAATGCTGTGGTAGCATCTTCATCTAATGATTTCATTATTAGAGTGGTAAGTTTAGTAGTGTTCATTCTTCCTAAGTAAACTGCCATAACATCCTTTCACAGCCATGACATTATTTCTTCCCTTTACCTTGAATGGCTCCTTATACCAATGAAGTGGCGTATGCCTGATGGAATGCCAGTCTCAGTGCTCAAGGGGCATACAGGGGCAGTTACTGCTATTGCATTTAGTCCAAGGCCAGGTGCTGCTTTCCAGCTGTTGTCGTGGGTGCCTCTTTTCTCTTTCTTGTTTTCCCCTGATTATATTATTTGCGCTACATTGTTGTTCTTATTGCCCTCAGGGCTCTGTGTACAGATCAGCCTTTCTTCGACTTTCTCTAATATAATGATACACAGCTCTCCTGTGTATTCGAGAAAGATAATTTGCTCTGCTTTGTTCTTGTTGCTATATACATGCTAGATGCAACTGTTTTACAAACGAAAATGACCTGCATGAAGTCATGTATTTGATACCAGCCAATGGTATAGCAACTGTATTCTATCTGCTGTAGTTTGAGTGTTTGAACGAGGCTGGTACTTATCTGAAAGCTAGATTGCCACTAGTGAAACATGTCATTTTTCTCTTTCCAAGAACTGTTTAGCACACAGTTACCCATATTGGAGGCAATATATACAGCAATGAAATATCTATAGTATAAGTTGATTGCTAAATTTTTCTGCGAGTGCTTTGGTTCATGTGATCTTAGATTCTCTATAAGATCTTAGGGCACTTAATCTGTGTGGATTATGCACACCCTCCCTCCCATGATATTACGGATTTTGGAAGTTTTTGAACAATTTAATCCAAATGAGAAATGACGCATGTGGTCTTCGTTAAAGCCAACTCCCATTCTAACATTACATTGAAGACAAATTATTATTGGCTCATGTAACAGTATTTAATGCTAAAGGAGTAAAATAATATTCTTGGAAAGTGAAGAGGGTCTTAATTCTCCCTAAATCCCAAATATTATGCTGTTTTCTGAAATAAAAGAATGTTGTACTGCTTATGTATTACGTGTTTTTAGTCTAGCTTTGCTTTACACTGATTTTCACTGTCATTTTAAACACTTATTGTTTATGACACATCTAAGGTGCATTGAAATGTGTTTGTTTTTTCTATATGATTTGTGCTACAACATCTGGCTTGCTGTAGTACTTCGCTGCACATAACTGTTTATAGGGTTTTACTTGCCATTGTTAGTTATGTTCCTTCTGAAATTGTCAAATAATATTGTTGGCAGGTCATCAGATGATGGGACGTGCAGGATTTGGGATGCCAGATACTCTCAACAACCTCCACGAGTGTATACACCAAAGCCCCCAGATGTTGCCCCTGGTTAGTTAATTGAAGCATGCATAGTGCATTAGTAATATCTAATTCTGGATAAGCCAATCCATGTGGTGTTGATGCCAGGTAAGAGTGGTGATGCATCTTCCAGCGCTGCTCAAGTTCAGCCAACAAATCACCAGATCTTATGTTGTGCATTTAATGCTAATGGAACAGTGTTTGTCACTGGCAGCTCGGACACTTTTGCAAGGGTGTGTTTTTCTCCTTACCTTCACTTGTCAATTTCTTATCTAATTGTGGAGAATTGCCCTTTTTTCATCAGAAATGTTTCATTTCAGGTCTGGAATGCTTGCAAGAGTTCTTCTGATGAACATGAACAACTGAATCATGAGATGGACCTATTATGTGGGCATGAAAATGATGTAAACTATGTGCAATTTAGTGGATGTGCAGTGGCATCAAGATCTTTTTCATCTGATTCCAGTCATACCTCCAAGGAAGAAAATAACCTTAAGCTAAGAAATTCTTGGTCAGTATTTTGTTTGCCCTTATGGTTTGTTTTCTCCTTCGAAATGTTCTTATTTATGTCCATTAGGCATTAGCAGCATCAGTTCTTAGTTGTTGATCCAAAGGTGTCCTTTTTTCTTCAGTTTGTTCTTAGTTGTTCAATTCACGAACGTCCAAATGGTGTTGTTTTTGGCTTCAACAATCCTCCGTGAGCTGAGTTGTTTCTTTTTGCTAGGTTCACGCATAATATTGTTACCTGCTCCCGTGATGGCAGTGCAATTATATGGGTTCCACGATCTCGGAGGTCGCATGTAAGCTGCTGTATGCTAGAACTTTACAATTTTGTTTTTTGAAAACTTTGTTTGCATGAATAGTTTTTTATGATGACATGCGTAACTGTCCAATCTAGCTACTGCTATAATGGTATGGTCGCCTCCTGAAATGCAGCCAATCATAATTTATGATTTAAGTATGCGTTGAATTTCTTCATTGTCATGTGTTCATTCAGTAATGATGTACCCAATGCAATGGACAAGTCAGGTTTACTGGCTCATTAGCACCACTGCCATTTTGTGCAACTGTAGATCATGAATGCCTTTATTGTATGCTATACATGTGTTCAAAGCAGTTTCCTGTATAATTTGTTCCTGCATTGATCCAGGGAAAAATTGGACGCTGGACGCGTGCTTACCATCTTAAAGTCCCCCCACCTCCAATGGCGCCTCAACCACCTCGAGGTGGTCCTCGTCAAAGATACCAACCAACTCCTCGTGGTGTCAATATGATAGTTTGGAGTCTAGACAACCGCTTTGTGCTTGCTACAATCATGGGTACTTTTGATCTACTGTTTCATATGGTTTCACTAATTCACTGCAACCATATCGATCCAACGTTTTACTTTAGGCTGCGTTTGGATGTAGATATTGGGGCTCAGGAATTGGAATTGGCATTGGATAGCACCAAATGCCGCTGTTTGGATGGCCTGGACTTTGGAATTGGAAATAAACTTCAATACCAAGGGGTATTCGCTAGTGATCGCATACCATCACACTCGCCTGCAATACCGAGAGGGCCCGACCCTCCGTGATTGGGGGAATTGGAGCCCGTGCCCTCTTCTTCTCCCACGCCTTCCTTCTCAAGCTCCCAAATCAAGGCACACATCTGACGCGGCCAAGACAAACATGATGGGCGCCAACCCACCATGGCCACCGTCAAGGAGCCCAAGTTCGCGCCGTTCCCCGCCGCCCCCCTCGCGCGCCCCCTCCACCCCACTCGTCGGGGGCTCTCCGCCCCCCTCGCCGGAGTAGGCGAGAAGCCGAGGAGGGGCGGCTCGATTCTGTCGAAGTAGCAGAGAGAACGAGTCGATGATGGCGCGTGGTGGAGGCACTCGGGGATCCCCTTCTTCCTCAAGTCCGGCCACATCTATCTCCTTCCTCAACTCCGGCGACTTCCTCAACTGTGGTGGCGCAGGTCATGGGTGGTGTCGGGGCGTCGGCGGCGTGAGGAGGCCGCATTAAGCGCCAAAGAAAGGCGAGAAGGACAAATCCACCTGGCGGCAAAGAAGCGCAGCGAGGCATCGCAAGCGCAACGACAAAGCGGGCTCGAGCCTCCGGCTCAAAGGGCACCAAGCATGCATTGTAGGCCACCAGTCGTGGAGTTGCGTACCCGCGTAGCCGGACATTACCCAGAGTCACGGTTGGGAAGACGAGAGTCAATTGAATTCCATGAGATGTACATCCAAACAGTTATTCGGTATTGGCCCGTCCCTAGATTCCAAATAGTAATTCCATCTACATCCAAACATCTGATTTGGTATTGTAGCCCATTTTCAATGCTAGTCTGATTTGGTATTGATACCCAATTCAATGCCAGCCGTCCAATATCTACATCCAAACGGACCCTTAAAGTAAAATGCACCAGAGGTCTATTAACTTCTTAGGTGGTGTCATCTGGGTCCATCATCTCTCAAACTGCATTTTTTGGTCCCTAAACTTTTTAAGTGGTTCACCAGAGGTCCATACCCTTTTGTTTGGTCCTTAGATCCGACGTGCGGGTCCTGTGAGGACCGAGCTCCAATGAGGCTAGGGCTGGTGCTAGCCATTTATCTACTCAAAAAGGGTGAAGGAAGATAGATCGCCCGAGCTCGGCTGTAGGCAACGGCTGCAGCAATGGCATGTAAACCTGCCCAGGCGTGCTCGCCGGCTCGTGCTCAACAGTCATGCACTCGACGGCTCGTGCTTGTTGGCTCCGCACCTTGGCCACGCTCGCACGCCGACTCCATGCCCCTGCCTATGCTTGTCGACTCCACGTCCGCGCCGCTGTGGGGCAGGAGGCTCAAGCCCAAGCTGTCTCCCGCCTAGTAGGAAGCCCACCGCACTCGAAGCAGCCGTGCAGCCAGTCACTATCGGATGCCCACAACCACAATTTGCCATCGCTGGAGCAAGAGGCCTACGATGGAGTCGTCGTCTATCTGGCTGCCACGCAGCATGGTTCACGCTGGATTCGCTTGATTTCTGTTGCTGCGCACGCTCACACTGCACGCCGGCTCCGTTACCTGGTGCCTTGTGTGCCCACGTCGCACGCCAGCTCCGCGCTTCGGTGCGCTCGCTCACTGTCCAATTGTGCCAGCGTTGCCTACTGGCCGTTGCCTACAGCCGAGCTATCTTCCGTCACCCTTTTTGTGTAGATAAATGGCTAGCGCCAGCCCTAGCATCATTGGCGCATGGAAGACACAAAACACAAGGGAGCTCGGTCCTCACATAACCCGCACATGGTATCTCTGTCACGCTGACTGCTAACTCCACGTCGGATTCAAAGGCCAAACGAAGGGGTATGGACCTCCGGTGAACCACTTAAAAAGTTTAGGGACTCAAAAATGCAGTTTGAAAGATGATGGACCTAGACGGCAGCCCCTTAAAAATTAATGGATCTCTGGTGCATTTTACTCTTTTACTTAAGTTTTTCACTAATATTTGTTTATATTCCCATTTGAATTGTTTAATTGTCCTCTTGGATTTAGAAGTTTTTTGTCTCTTCGATTCGATGTAATTATTTCATAGTTGCTTAATTAAGTATAAGTATGAAGGACCAATCTATTTTTTTTAAATTTTGCTCTCATTATGACCAAACAAGAGTGGATTGGATGATCTCTCTGATCATCAACCATTTTCCCAGCAATAAACGATGCTGCCCATCCTCACCTGCCTGCTTCGTTTTGAATGCCAAGGACATTATTTAGTAATTGCTTTAGCTATACTACAATTTTGATGCATGGAATCATGGTTACAGATAACCTGCATCTCTTCGATTTGTTTCGTTGATTGAAATTGTTATATTACCAAACATATTCAAAGCATCCACCTACGCATGGTTTGAGTTTCAGCTAGAAGCAATAGTCATTTTCTCATTCTTATTATTACAATATAGCTCAATTATTAGTGCTGTTATTTCTAATCATCTTCCTTATTTCTATATTCTGCAGATTGCAGAATTTGTGTATGGAATGCTTCTGATGGGAGTTTGGTGCATTCACTGATTGGCCATAAGGAATCAGTAAGCATATTTCATGCAACCTATGCTTTATGTTTTCATTTTGTGAATGATATGTTGTGTTTTGCCATTCATATGCTATTTCCTTTCCCTTTTTGAAGGAATTTTTTTGACTGCAAAAGACTGGGGGAGATCCCCACAGTGATAGATTTTGTATTAATAAAAGGTAGAACGTACTTACAAACAGGGATTAACTAAAAGCATCCAGCCAAACACAAAAGGATGACCGCAGGTCATGAAACGAACAGACTGCAAGAAACATTGATTTTTAAAGTTTGCCGACCAGGCCGATGGAATTGGATCACGACTCTGAAAAACCTTGTCATTGCGCATCTTCCACAACTCCCATGCTGCTATCAAGGCTGCCTCCGTGAAGAAAGGAACATTGTGAACCTGTCCCACCTGTACCAATATATCCGAAAGTTGCAGCGTGTCATCCCAATCAAAATGGATGATTGCCCAACATTCCTTCGCGAAGGGGCGGTTGAAGAATAAGTGATCAATGGTCTCCTCTTCACCACGGTTCACATGACACAGATGTTATCATCCTGTATGTTCAGATGTCGTCTCTGGAGCATAGACTTGGTATTCAAACGGTCCACAAGGACAAGCCACGCAAAGAATTTCACGTGTGGAGTGCATCTAGATTTCCAGATGGCTTTGAAGATTGGATGTGCTTCCATGGTACTGAAGACATGAGAGTAGAAACGCCGTGAAGTATACACATTGCCCCAGGTGGGCAGCCAGCAATCCTTGGCATCAGCATCGTATGGCAGGTTCTGTAGGTGCAGTTGCAGGACTTCATATTCCTCAAAAGCTTGCTGCGAGAGCGGGAGGAAGAAAAGTTCATCAAGGTCTGTTGCTTGCATGACCTCCAGCACTTGCAAAGGATGCTAACCTTGGAAACTCTTGGGATAGAACAGCATCAGACCACATATCATCCCAGAAACAGACTGTCGAACCATCCCCAATCTCACACTTGGCAATGCCTCGGTTTATGATGCTGAGATGAAGAACATCCTTCCACCAGAAGGAGCCAACTTCCCTAGATGCATGGGGTACTTTGGTGGTATAATATTTGCTCCACACAAGGTGCATCCATGGGGTGTCAACTTTGTTATAGAATGTGAAGAGATGTTTAGTAGCGCATCATTTTGCAATCTGAGGTTAAGAACTCCCAGTCCCCCTTTCTCCTTGCTGCATAACAACTTCCCATGCAACTAAATTCCCCCTTTCTTTTGGGCATCATTACCTCTCCAAAGGCATTGCTTTGCTTGCTTTGTCGATGTTGTCAATGACCCTTTTGGTAGCTTGATGGTACACATAGCATATGTGGTGATGGGGGTTATAGCCAAGTTAACCATTTCCGAGCGACCGAGTAAGAAAGCCATGTGGAGCACGCAGAGAGCCTCCTCTCTATTCTGTCCATCATCGGGTGAAGTCCTCAATGTGTGGCTTTGGTCGTGCCCATGGGCAAACCCAAATACGTGAACGACATAGAACCAATATCACAGTCCAATGTGTTTGCCAGATGGGTCATCTTCTCCTCATTGACGTTGATGGAGTACATATGTGATTTACTGTAGTTAACTTTAAGCCCGGTTGACTCGAAAAGCTGTGCAACAAAGCCTTAAGAAAGATCAGCTGTCTAGCATCGGCTTGCAACATCATCAGCGATCGTCAACGATTGAACTATTGGAAAATCCCAGTTGGTTGTGGAATTGGAACTCTGAGCAAATTCATAGCAGCAACTCGGTTGATTAAAATCTACAGAAGTTCAGCTGCTATAACAAAGAGGAGGGCGACAATGGATCGCCTTTGACGGACCCTCTCTTGCACTTGAAATTTTTTCCTGGGACGCCATTGAGTAGGACAGCAGATGAACCTGAAGAAAAAATGGCTTGAACCCAATCCAACCATCTCTGTGGGAACCCCATGTGAGCCATAACTTGCATAATAGCTGAATGTTCCACTGTATCAAACGCTTTCTCGAAGTCTAATTTTGGGATGATGATCTCTCTTTTCGACTGATGGCACTGGTGAATGTACTCATAACTCCATGCTAAGCAGTCTTGAATCGTGCGAGAGCGAATAAAACCATATTGATTTTGATGAACAACTCTCAAGATGACAGCCTGCAATCTCTTGGCTAGAATCTTGGTGATGACCTTGAGCGAGATGTTCATTAGGGAGATGGGGTGAAAATCATTTACTGTCTCTGGACTGTCCTTTTTAGGAACCAGGGTGATATAAGAAGTGTTGATGCATTCAAGATTAATCTGACCCGAGAGTAAAAATCACCTTTGATAAATTGCCAACACTTTTTTAGGAAACGGCCGTTAAAACCATCAGGGCCTGGAGCCTTGTCAGCCAGCATACGCTTCACCACCAAGTCCACCTCCTCCTGCAGAATTGGGGCAGCAAGAGAATCTAGGTCGTTCACTGGCGTGACAAGGCTAGAGAGGTCAAAAAGCATAGTAGGTGATGACGTGGTGCCCATGCGATTTTTGAAGGAGTTCCAGAGAAGGCCTGCCTTCCCTTCATGGTCGTGGATCCAAATGCCTTGGTCATTCATGATCTGCGCAATGGAATTTCTTCTATAAGAAATAGTAGCCATGCCATGGAAGAATTTTGTACACTCATCACCCAACTTTATTCTATTGACTGTGTAACGATTCCTCCAGAAGAGATTCTTGTATCGCAACCAAATTTGAAGTTGTTTCTTGACAACAGCCCGTAGGTTTGCTTCTGGATTAAAAAGGCCTCTTATATCCTCCAAAGCATCTAGAAAACCAATGACTTGGTTGCAGTTGTTGATGTGCATTCTTAGATTTGATAAATACTTGCTCCAGTCCTTCAGTCGGGCTCTTAGGGCCTTGAATTTGGAAGAGATAGTACGAGCAGCATCACTGTTAGCTGGCGTAGAGGTCCACAAGTCATATACTGTGTCTAGGAAATCTTCTTGCTCTGCCCAGAAATTCTCAAAACGGAATAGATTAGCTCTAGGAATTTTTGTGCTAATCACCACCTTGCAAGGAATATGATCCAAAGTGATCTTTGCTAAAGAAGGACCTCTGTGTTGGGGAAGTCGATGGTCCAGTTGGTGGACGTGAAGAACCAATCAAGTTGCTCAAGCAACGGATCGGATTGCATATTGCTCCAAGTGAATGCCCGACCCTTCAAAGGCAGCTCAACTAAACCAAGATGCCCAATCGCATCATTGAAAATAAAAGTGTCAGTAAGATTGCCACCGGGTCTATTTCGTTATTCAGAGAGCGGTAGAAATTAAAATCTCCCAGGAAGATCCAATTCTTTGAGTCAGATATTGTAAGACATAATCTGCTGCTCCCCATTTCTCTCTTGGCTGCAGATTAGGAGTTGGAGCTGGTCAGCTCGGCTGTCCACCCCTAGTTGCTGTAGCAGTAAGGTAGTAGGCCATAGTAGAAATGGCTTACTTCAGCCATGTAGTGTAGAGATGGCCGAGCTAAGCCTTGTACTCACCAACAACTATGTACCTGGTAGAGGTACCAGCACCTGTATATATACTATGCCAAGGCAATGCAGCAAATCAGTTCAGTTTGTCACATTCAGAAGCAGAGCTTCAGCCAGGGCTGGGCTTGTGTTGTGTGTGTTCTTGAACTCAATCTCTTCTTCTATCTCTAGCCATAATGAGTGAGTGTCTTTGGTAAGCTTATCGCTTACTGTCAGGCAGGCAACAAAGGACCAACAAGTGGTATCGAGAGTCATGCAGCAGCCGTCAGCGGGACTAATCGCCGCGATGATGACGGGTGGTTCAGAGATTCAGGCGACAAGAACCATGGCGTCATGGGCTACCAACCACCACGACAGGAGGTCGTCATGATGATCTGGCGGGGAGGTCACGCGCACTACTTGGCCACAACTGACTCGCACCAACTATGGCGAGTGGGCGGTGACCATGAAGGTCAAGCTCAGAGCCAGACGACTCCGTAATGCCATTGACAAGGGCACCGACAACGAAGAAGACTACATGTCAGTGTTGGAGGCCATCCTCGCCGCTTTGTGCCGTGAGTAATCGGGAGTCGTTGGGGCGAAAGAAGTCGCTAAGGAGGCGTGGGAGGTCATTGCGCCGATCTTGCGCGGCTTACTCGATCACAAGAAAGAAGGCGACGACCCAAACTTTGAAGCAGGAGTACGCCAACCTCAAGTTCAAGGATGGTGAGTCGGTGGACTTCTCCTTCCGTCATAGATCGCTCATCGAAGAAGTCGAGGAGCCACGGTGTCACCATCGACGAAGAAGAGGCGGTCTCAAGTACCTCCATTCCGCGTCTTGGGTGAAGTATATCCAAATCGCCTCTCCATAGAGCGATCGGCGCCGGACCGGCCCACTCACCATTGAGGATGTGACAGCCGCTCATGCGGGCGGTGGATGAGCGCATGGAACAAAGCCACAAAGAACGACGGACGGTGGTGGCTCGTCACGGCAGAGGAGTGGATCGCCGGATGAAGGAGAAGAAGTCTGGGGAAGCCTCCTCCAGCTGCGGTGGCGATGGCAAGCGCCGCAGCAAGGCTTCTTTGGAGAAGGTCGACCCCAACGCCTGCCGGTGCTGTGGGAAGACAGGCCATTGGGCAAAGGAGTGCCCAAATCGCAAGTAGGAGAAGAAGGTTGAGGCTCATTTGGCGCAGGATGATGATGATGAGGCCACTTTCCTGATGGCGACGTTCTGTGCACTGCACGACGTTGATGCCAAGGAGAAGGGAGAGGTGATGGCGGTGGAAGGGCACGTCAAGGCTTTGAAGGCTGTCAACCTCGACGAACCGCGCGCCCAAGTCCACCTTGGACGTGTGGGCGGCGAGCAGGAGCAGCGGTGGTACCTGGACTCCGGCGCTAGCAACTACATTGTTAGTCGCTGAATTCTTACTCTTGGTAGTAGCAGAATTCTTACTCTCATCGAGAGAGGATGATACTAGGAGTTGGGGTAATTTTCTGGTTTATTTCACACAAATGCCATGCCAACCTGAGG